AATACATTGAAAGGACACACATAGATAGCGCTGTATATACATATAACTGTATGCGTCTCTATATATATATAGAAGTGTGAGTTATTTACATATAAAATGATCTGACTTTTAGCATGTTTAGATGGATTAATTAATGATTATATAGTAAGAGATACATATATATATTACAGATATAAGCTATACATAATGATACATAGATACATATATATATTTATATATTTTTATAACTATATAGCCTTTAAGAATATATAAGGTAAATGAATATATAAATTCTCAGCTGTTTTTAAGGACTTTTATTATACAAAATTGTTGGACATTCGCTATCGAGCTCTGATTCAATCAAAACTAAAACAATCGTATTCAATCAAACTTATATATTTATTACTATTAATATTCCAATCACTAAAAGCTAACGTAGAGTTTCCTATGCACTTCAGTTTACAGCTCGCCAAACCTATATTCTCTACAACTTTCTGCGCAAGCACGAAAAAAAACGGAAACTTTGTCGCACTCGTGTGTGGGTGGCTTTATCTGTGAGTGTGTGTGTGTCCAGCAGTTGCAACTTTTTTTCTCTTTGGAAAATTAATTAAATGTTCGCTGGCATTAAATTGCAGGGCTGTGAACATGCATGGAATTAGTTATCAGCTAGAAAATTCAGGGCACAGAACAGGGTTCAGAGGATCCCTGGAACCAGCTGACGCATGACCAGTGCAAATCATAGCAAATGTTACATTACATTATTTAATATGAAATATTTACTGAATACATATATATAAATGTGTACATATATATGTCTACAAAATGTTAGCTAAGCCGAAAAACATTTGTGAAAACAGTTTGCACTTTGTTTAACAGGGGAGAGTTGGAAAGGCGCCTAGAATTCAAGAGTTTTTATGCTGTTAAATTTGCTGGAAAGTGGACAGACAACGAAAGAGCGAGATGGAGAGAGAGAGAGAGGGACTTACTTGGGGGTCACACAGTAAATTGCAAATGATGAAACTTTGCCCATCATAAACGCCATTTGATGTTAGCCAATATGGCGTCGTACACGTTTCCGCCTGCCAGAACAGGCCAGGCCAGGCCAGACCCGGCCCGGTGCGGCCCACTCGACCAAATGTGCCAGGCGTAAATTTTCACTTTTTAGTTGGTCCAAAACTTTTGCGTGGGCATGGCAGGGTGGGCGAGCAGGAGCGCTGCCACAAAGCGAAACGGTTTTATAGGCTAGCCTACACTAATCGCCATATTTCTGCATCAATAACAATTACCAGCGAAACTCTCATCTCATTTGTTATGCAAAACTGTGAGAAGAAAACACAGGGCACATAAAAACTTTGAGCTGAATTTTTCCACACAATTTGCTGTTGAACTTTGAACTTAACGCTCACTCAAATGGCTTTAAATGCAGCACTTGGCTATCAGCTGGCTGTTGGATTGGGCCACTTAACCTCGTCAACAGCAACAGCAACAGCAGCAGCAGCAACAGCCATTGAGGTGCCCAAATGTATGTCAGCTGTTAATTAGCCGCACTTCAGCAGGCCGCAGCAGCAGCAGAAGCTAAAAAAAATAATAATGCATATTCATGGCTCAGCTAGAGGTGTGCGTGTGTGTGTGTGAGTGCGCGCGCGACACGTGATGGCTGCAAAATAATATACAGAAAAAGGAGAAAAAAGTACGTAAATGCTATGTGACCATGTCACGCATACGCCACGTGAGCCGCGACACGCTCTTTCACTTGAAAAAGTCCTTGAAACGTTACCGAAGTGTGGCGAGGGAGTGCGTAGCTCGCTCAGCTACACCTGGCCAGGGCCCAAAAGCTAATGCTAACCCTTGCGTTTCATGTCACAATAAACAACTTTATTAATGCATGTTTTGTGCTCAAGATCAACAGACGGCGATTGCGCGCCGATCGCAAAGCGAAAGCCGCTTTTCATAATACAAAATTAAAAAAGTGTTTTATTATTTAGATTAGAGCTGCAGTAAAATAATTAATACAGATTTGCGCTAGATAAAGCCATTAAGATAATTGTGAAGAGCTATATATTTGCATATAGTTTAGATAGGAATATAATTGATGGAACTGTGTTTTGGGCAAGACTAAAGCTAGTTGTTGGGATGAAGTTTAGATAAAGGAATGTAATGAATATGGAAATTGGATGCAATGAGAGAAGCTGACGGAATGAGCTTAGAGGATTTGGGAGAAAGTATAGCTGATTAAAATATGCTTTAATGATATGCCAAATTATATATTAACTGCTTTTTTATTGATTTTAGTGTTATTAATCTCAAGTTCTATAAGTTTTTATTATATAACATTTTTATTTGCCAAGTGACTAAGTGACTTCAAGTTTATGAACTGAACTGGGCTAACAAAGACTGCATTGATGCAGCTCAAGATACTGAAACATCTCTGTGTTAATTATTTTCCCTCTCAACTAAATAATTCTCTAGACTTTGCTCTTATTCCTACACTCAGCCAGACACATCAAACATTCCCTCCAAAACATCCCACAACATTCACTAAAATCTTCAATCTTCATTTATTATCATTAAGCCCTGTTAAGCTCCCCCAACCAGCACCATCAATAATTGTTGTGGCGTTTATTTTATATTGATTTTTTTCTTGTATAGTTTTTAATTATCCTAAAAGTACAACTAACAATCAGCATAAATTTACACAGAATTGCATTCGGCTTTAAATATGTGGAAAAAAAAACAGAAGAAACAAAACGAAAAAAGCGAAGGCAAGAAAAATGTTTATATGAAGCGTTCAGTTGTTTTTTTTTTTTTGGGTTTTCCGTTGAGCTTTTTTTGTTACTTGTTCTCTTGTTGTTGTTCTTGTTGGATCTTTGTGCTCGAGCTGCTTATTTGTATTGGGGCATTTTGCCAATTCATTTTCGCTTCGAGTAAAATTAATTAGAAATCAACAAAATGAGCATAGGGCGAAAAGGAAAACGAGAAAGTATATAGCAGAGAGAGAGAAGGAGAGTCAAAAGGGCGAGCGCTTTCATACATAAATCTCAGCGTGCCTGAAATGGCAAAATTAAGCGCATACACAGCGAGAAATGGGAGAGAAAAAAGATAAGCAAACAAGCAAGAACATTGCAGTTGGGCATGCCTGACTACCAGATGCTCGCGCACAGTGCTAAAGCAGCAATGCGCCTCTCTTATTCTAAAAATCTTGGCCAGACAAAGCTACACTCAAAAATATATATTTCAAGCTTCAAGTCGCTAGCAATAAAATACTTCATTCAGGACAATTTACAAAACTAATATACTCTCTTATCACATCATGAACGAGCACAAAAATTCCATTTTTTACTTTGAAAAAACCAAAGGAAAAGGAAATACATCAAGAAGTAAGAAGCGAAAACATTTTAGGCAAAGAAAAAGTGCAGTAAACAATAAAAATGAATGAATAATTTGTTAAAAGGCTCAGTTGATCATTTGTTTTTATTGCTGATGCGGCTGCTGCTTCTTCTTCCCCCAAATAATCATTATAATCATTGTCTTGCGCTACCATGGCTAAAATATCTATGTAATTACTCAAAATTTGCTGCAGCTGAGACTGAAAATGAAACTAAAACTGAGACAGAGATAAAACTGAGCCAAAAGGCTGTGCGAATCAGTTCCTCCAGCTGCTGTTGTTGTTGTTGTCTTTATAATGAATACATATATATCTATATATATCCTGCACTGGGCTGACAGCGTGTCATTATTAACGTCTGTCCCAATATTTGTATATAATTTGTCTTTATTGTCATTGACATTAGGCACATTTGTTGCGGCGATTATCTGGACAATCTTTAAGTGGGCAAACAGCTGACGCTGCTAATGACAGCTGAGGGATTGCACGAGGGTTGCTCGAGAGGAAGAGGAGCAGGAGCAGCATTGCCGTCCAGGATATTAGATTGCGGCTGACATTTCTCGACTTGACTTGGCTTGGCTTGGGCTGGTTTGGGTCGCGTGCTGTGTAATTTGTTTGGCTTGACGGCAAATGAATGCAAATTGTTTCTTGTGCGGCATTTTTAATGAGCCAGCCAATGGGGGAGCAGTACAAAGTTTGGACCATGGGTTTTGGCGGCATTTGGGGCTTAATATGCTGGCATGCAACACCTCAAAAGCATGAAACATGTACGAGTTTGGGAAGGTCAAAATTTATATGCAGAGCTAGAAATCTTTCTTTACAATTATTGCCTTAAAAAAACTTTATATAAAAGGCAAATAAAAGTAAAGGTTAATTAAAGTTGCCTGGTTTATACTGGAGAAGAAACAAATTTGATAACACATAATTAGTATAAAAAAGATAATATTAATATATAGATTAATAATGGGTATAATAAATATCCAATAAGAAAATTATGTACTCAAGTATAGTGTTTCTATAAAGAAAATATTAAAAATAAATATAATAAATAAAATGTCAATTTTTCAGACTTAAGACTTATATTATCGATAAATATATCGAGTATATTAATTTGCTAATATTTTTAAATATTTAAAAAAGCTTTTATAACTGTAAATTGTAAAAACCTACTTCAATCTCGAATTTCTTAAGCTGTTTCTGCATCGTTACTTTTCGCAGCGCAATCCCATCCACAGCTCTAAGTACTCCAAGGCTCATTCTAAATTCTGTGAAAGATTATTTCTAATTCCGTTTATTTTCCACCCCGTGCGACGGCAATCGAAAAGCCAAATAAAATCCAACACCTTAACAATGGATAATAAATGATAATGAGGCTAGCGACGCAGATGCAAGAATATTTATATACATTTTACAGGAATCGCTCGGAGCTGGGGGCAGGGCCGAGGACAATGCGCCAGGATACGCGTAATTATTTTAATATTTAATGACTGTGAAGAATCAAAAGAAATAGCAAAAGGAAAAGCCCGTAGCTGGATGAGTGCTTATGCAAATGAGTGGACAAGAAGTGGGCTGGATGGATGAGTGAATTGGGGGATGGGTGTCGCGGGGTCTGAGCAAGATTGGGGCACTTACTTACCACTGGCACGGGTATCACACAGTAGACACAGGGATGGCCAACAGCAGCGGCGGCAGCGACAGTTGGCAGACCGTAGGCGGCGGCGTTTACGCACAGATGATCCGTTTTAAATATCTTTGTTGGCGGCGGCTGGGCAATCAGCGAGGATGAGGCGCTCGAGCACGTGTACAGCGTCGATGTGGACGACGTCGTGGCGGCGTTAACAGTGGCGCCTCTTAAGCTTGTTGTTGCTGCTGTTGCTGTTGTTTGCTTTGGCTTGGCAACTTGGCTTGTTGCTGTTGCTGTTGCTGTTGCTGCGGCTTCGCTTGTGGGCGGCGGTGGCGGTGGCGGCAAAGCTGCTAGGGTCAAGGAGGTGTTGCTGCTGATGCTGTTGTTGTCTACGCTGACCGAGGCGTTAGCCTTAGAATTTGTTAACAAACTTTCTGTTGTTGTTGCTGCTGTTGTTGTGGCTGCTGCTGTTGTTGTTGTTTCTGCTGCTGTTGTTGCTGCCGCTGCTGCTGCTGTTGTTGCTGCTGCTGCTGGTGCTGCTGTTGTTGTTGTGGCTTCTTGCTGCCGCTCTGTTTGCACAACTGTTGCCAACTGTTGACTTGCAGCTGTTGCCTCGCTTTGCTGTTGCTGTTGCTGTTGTTGTTGCTGCTGCTGCTCCTGTAGCTGCTCTTGCTGATTGAAATTAGTTAGCGTCAATGTTGTTGTGGGCAGCGGTGAAGTTTTTCTCTTGATTGACGCAATTTTAATGGCTATTGATGTGCACGTTGATTGTGAATTAATTTCCACTGTTCGCTGCCTTCCCTCTCTGCCTCTATTTCTCTCTGGCTATCTTTCGCTCGCTCTTTGTCTCGCTGTTTGTTGTTTGTTTGGCGCCTGTTGTTGCTATAGCCTTTAGCCTCAAGTATACAATTTGTTTTTTCTGTTTTCGTGTTGCTTTTTGTTTGTTTTAATTACAACGAACAAATTCGAATTAAATTTGCGCTACGATTTTTTATACGTTTTACTTTTGAAGTTTTTGTTTTAAAAACATTTACTAATTATTTTTTTTTTAGTTTTTTTCTTTTCTTTTTCTAACACTGAACACTTAAGAGTTTTTGTTTTAGGTTGAAAATGTTTAACAATTATAGTTACTAAAGCACACAGAGACTAAAATATGCAAATCTTGAATTAAATATATTTTTAAGCTAAGCTTTTAGTTTTGCGCTAATTTTTGTTTTTTTTTTTTAATTCTCTATTTTTTTTGTTTTTTTTTTTTAATTTTCTAGTTTATTTAAGTTTTTTTTTAATTTTTTATATATTTTCTTAATTTTTATTTTCTTTTTAATATTTCACTCACAATTTGCGCTAGTTTTTCTTTATTTAATTTTTAAGTCAATTTTTTTATTGTCTTTTGTTTATGCACAAAACATTTAAAACACTGAAGTCTTGTATAAATTTTGATTTATGTTAGGAAAAGTTGTTTTTAATTTAAAACTTTTTAATTTAATTTTAAGATTTTTTATTAAAATAATACTGCAGTTTTTTTTCTAAATTTAAAAATTAACTTTTTATAACTTGGAATTTTTTTAGAGAAAAATATTTTTTTATTTTTAATTTGTTTATTTTTTAAGAGTTTAAAACTCACTTCTTTTTTATTTATTTTGCTCTTTTTTGGTTAAACTTTCACGATTTTGTATTTGAAATACAATTTTAGGGACTTTAGACCTTTAGCCAATCTTTCTGTTGCTAGCTTTGAGCAATTGTTGTTGTTGCTGCTGTTGTTGTTGTAAATAATACTGTTGATTTGTTGATTTACGATTTAATGGATTACCCGGACAACGTTAAACACTCAGTTCACAGTGCGTTCACTCTTCGCTTTGACTATGGACAGAATGTGCTCACAATATGAATATTACGTATACGCCACGAAATTAGTTATTAATTTTTAAATTAAATATAATTAATTTATTTTTTTTTATTTTGAATTTTTTGGGAGGCGCAAACACAAAATGGCGACTACTTGTCGGAACTTGACTGCTGGATCAACTGGCTCTGCTTGGCTTGGCTTTACTTGACTGGCTTTTGGCTTTGGCTTTGGCTAGGCTTTGGCTTTGGCTTTGGCTTGGCTTCAGCTTCGGCTCGGCTTTGCTTGGCTTTGGCGGCTGGCTTGCTGGCTGGCTGGCTTGCTTGCTGGCTGGCTGGCTTGCTGGCTTGCTGTTCGCTTTCCGTTTTGCGAAAATGAGGAAAAGGCGTTTAACTTAACTTGACAATCGTCGAATGGATTCTGAATTTCTCATTGAGTAAGGTTGCATGTTCAACTTGTGCCCAGCCGTTTGGCAGCCAGTCGGCGCCAGCGCTCGGCTCTACACGATGGGGCATTCGTGAAAGCCGGCAAACGACGTCTCGCAGGACTTTGCAGAATCCACAAGCCGGCGCATGCGTTGCACGCAAAAGGCGTGTGTGTTGCACGACAGCCCTCTGCCACATTCAGCGGGCTGCACAAGCAACGGCGTCCTTAGCGACGCATGCAACGCGACTGTCTGTGTGTGGGAGCCAACAAGAGAGAGAGACAAACAGAAACAGAGAGAGCGAGAGAGACAGAGAGTGAGTTAGGGAATTCTCGAGTCTCAGGCAACACGTTTTTGGTTTCCTTTACGTTCGCGTCCAGCCCAATGCGAGGCGTAACCAATTGAAATGCATCTCAGCCTACGCGAGCCGCAATTACCTTAACAACTTTGCGTTTGGTAATTGTCAACATTGAATTTAATCAGAAATTACGACGTGCTCTCCTACTCTTGCTCTAACCACTGCCGAGTTGTCCAGCTGCCCAATCAAATATAAATATATATGTATATATATATATATATATATATATCTATAATATATATATTCGTGAACAGCTTGCAAACTCAAATAGCCTTCGCTCACTATGAAGTTTGAGCAGCAAACTCAAATTTTTGGTGGCAAAACTTAAACAAGAAAATGAGGCAAGCGGCAAAAAAATGCATGCAACAAGGTGGAGAGAGTTGTTAAGAATAATAAAAAAAGCTGTGAAGAGTTTTTTGGCTAGTTTTAGTTTTAAAGAGATTGGAGAGAAACAAGTATAAGTATAAGTATAAGTATAAGTATAAGTATAAGTATAAGTATAAGTATAAGTATAAGTATAAGTATAAGTATAAGTATAAGTATAAGTATAAGTATAAGTATAAGTATAAGTATAAGTATAAGTATAAGTATAAGTATAAGTATAAGTATAAGTATAAGTATAAGTATAAGTATAAGTATAAGTATAAGTATAAGTATAAGTATAAGTATAAGTATAAGTATAAGTATAAGTATAAGTATAAGTATAAGTATAAGTATAAGTATAAGTATAAGTATAAGTATAAGTATAAGTATAAGTATAAGTATAAGTATAAGTATAAGTATAAGTATAAGTATAAGTATAAGTATAAGTATAAGTATAAGTATAAGTATAAGTATAAGTATAAGTATAAGTATAAGTATAAGTATAAGTATAAGTATAAGTATAAGTATAAGTATAAGTAAGTAAGTAAGTAAGCTGGAGATACTTATGCTGGACAACTAGAACTCTGCCAGAAACGCATGATATAAGCTAAACATTTCTATTGATATGCTTAGCAGTTTTAAATTATTAACTCTTCAGAACTCTTGTCGACAAGCCTGTTCGCTTTTAAGCTATTTGTTAGTTCATTTATATAACTTTAAACTCTGAACTCAAGCCTGCCTCACTGGCTAATTCAAACTTAAGATAAAGCTTCACCCGCGAAGCATTCAACAAGGCAGCAACATGAATTTACCTTATAGCCATAAACGCTTCATAGGAAAACATAACTAAGTTTCTAAAGCAACGTCCAAATACAATAAACCATAGATAATGCAAAGTCCAATGCTTTAATCCAAAGAAAATAATGATATATATATATATATATATATATATATTATATATATAATAAATGTTTTGGCCAGGCGAAAACTTCAGCGCTGACTAAGCGGGAATGTTTACAATTTTGTATTTTATATTCCGTTTTTTATTTTGCTTCTTTTTTTGCAGTTTTACATTTTTATTTTGATGTGGTTGGCATTATTATTGTTGTTGCTGTTGTTGCTGAGAGCTATTTAAATGGAACGCTCGTGAAAAGCAAAAGCAACGCCATGCGGCCATTAGAGGATGCCAAATAGACGTCGCCACAAAGCAAAGCGAGCAGCCAGCGCCTCAGTTGAGAAGGTGGCCAGCAGGACACGCAGGTGGCATAGAAGTGTGGAGGGGGTAGGGGCATGGCAATGTCTAAAACGCAGCCAGAGAGTTGCCAGTCGCATTGTGCGGCGCAACATTACTGAATAGTTTATAATACACAGACACAGGCAGAGCGCGGGGCCACAGCTTACAAAATGTAAAACGGCCTTTGTGCGTATTTTTTAGCCATTTGCAGATGCATAAAATATGCCCGGGCATTATGCAATGAAATCTACACACAAATTAGGCAAACAGCAAAAAGAAGGAGAGAGCAGCGCAATTTTTTAGATTTATTTGAGTAATGATTGCAGGTAAGCTGGCAGCTGGCTAAGATTAGGCAGGCTGTATGGCCTGCAAGTGTCGGAAATTGATATGCTGTGAGCTATGTGTCTGTGTGTGTGTGTGTCAGTGTGGCAGCAGTATAGAAATCCGTATCATTGCCGTGGCAAGGCAACAGCAGCAGCAGCAGCAATTTTCCACTCAAATGGGCCAACGCTGCGAATGACACATGTCGATTGCACTGTGTGGCGCCCCCTTGCGGCCGAAAGCGAGACTATCGTGCCCTATCAGAAGTCTGAAATCAGTTAAAGAGCAAAGGCGAAGGCGGGCCCGGGCTACCCGCCAACCGATTTGAATGAATGAGTTTTGCCAGTGAATGAATGAGTGACTGCGCGGTTGCCAGCTTGATTGCTTGATTGATGCAGCGATGCATTTGATTGATCGATTGATTGATTCATTGTGGCGCTGATTGCGCACAACCAACCATTTAAGCTATATATATAGTAGCCCAAATTTGAACATTAAGAAATTTTATAGAATGTATAAAGACATAGAATCGTGACCAACTGAGTAACACATAAATAAATTTATCTATAACAATATAAATTAAAACATATAATTCGCTTTTTTGTATTAAAATATATTGAAAAATCTATTTATCGATACTTTTATTGTATAAGTCAATAATTATGTAGATAGACCGAATCAAAGAATAATTAATTTATCGATAAATATATCGATAATATAAGCACACTTATATATATGTAAAAACTTTATGCAAATCACTTACATTTGCATAATTCTGTGATCGTGGCATGTGCGGCGGCAATTGCTGTGAGTTTGGTGGCGCCCTCATGTGGACAGGAGCACTGCCGCCATGTCCATTTCCGCCCCCTACCACCTGCTGCTGCTGCTGGGGCCCGCCCATTGGCTGCTGTTGTTGTTGCTGCTGGTGCAGCG